GAAAACTAGCAAAAGAATTCTGAACTTAAACTCAACACTCAACCAATTGTATCTAATATATATCTACAGAGCACTAACCAATCACATAATATATATTTTCATGTTTTCAGAGATCACATTTAGAAATAAAGTCTCAATAAATAAAAAAATAATATCAAGCACATATTCAGACCACAGTGCTTTAAAAAAAGAAATAAATATCAAGATGTCTCAAATTTATACCAATACATGGAAATTAAACAACTTTCTCCTGAATAACTCCTGGTTATATAACCAAATTATCAGACAATTCTTTGAAATTAATAAAAATAGGATACAACTTGCCAAAATTTTGGGATGCTGTTAAAATAGCACTAAGAGGAAAGTTTATATCTCTAATATGCCTCAATTAAGAAGTTAGAAAGACCTCAAAATAACAATCTAAAATTTCACCTATAGGAACTAGAGAATAAAAACCAACTTCAAAGCTAGCAGAAGGAATAACTAAAATTTTAAAAGAACTGAACTAAGTTGAGATGTAAAAATCTATACACAAGATCAATGAAACCAAGAATTGTTTCTTCACAAAAATAAACAAGATTGATAGACCACTAGGTAGATTAATAAAGAAAAAAGGTCCAAATAAGTCCAATGAGAAATGACAACAACGATATTATAACTAAACCTACAGAAATACAAAAGATCCTCTAATACTATTAGAAAATTTTCTATGAACGTAAATTCAAAAATTTTGAGGTGGGGTCCAAAGTGGCTCCCACTGGAGGTCGTGGTGCTTGCGAAGGCAAGGTCATGAGTTCAAGGCTAACCTGAGCAACCTTATAAGCTCAAACTGATTGGCAAAAAAAAAAAAAAAAAAATTGAGGAAATGAATAAATTCCTGTAAACACAAAAGCTCCCAAGATTAAACCAGGAAGAAAGTAAAAACCTGAACAGACCATTATAAGTTTTAAAAGTGAATCAACAATTTAAAAACCTACCAACCAAAAAATCCTTAGACCAAATGGATTCACAGCTAAATACTAGCAGACATACAAAAACTGGTAACAATCCTGCTGAAACTATTCTAAAATCTTGAAAATGAAAAGCCTATTCATAACTCATTCTATGAAACCAGCATCAGCCTGATGCCAAAATCTGATAGAGACACAACGACAAAAAAAGATAATGTCAGGCGAATATCCCTGATGAATATAGACACAAAAATCCTCAACAAAATGCTGGTAAACAAAATCCAAGAGCACATCAAAAAGTTAACACATCACGATCAAACTGGCATTATTCCTGAGATTCAAAGCTGATTCAACAAGTGCAAATCAGTAAATATGATTCACCACATAAATAGAATTAAGAGGAAAAACTATTAATATATGATCATCTCAATAAATGGAGAAAAAGCTTTTGATAAAATTCAGCATCCCTTTCCATTGATGATTAAAACTCTCAATAGTCTTCGTATTGAAATAACATATCTCAAAATAATAAGAGCCATCTATGCTAAACCCACAGCCAACATCATACTGAATGGGCAAAAGCTGTAATAATTCCCCTTGAGAAATGAAATACGATAAAGATGTCCACTCTTACCACTCCTATTTAACATAGTACTAACTAGCCAGAAGAATCAGGCAAGAGAAAGAAATAAAAGGCATCCAAATTGGAAAAGAAGATGAAAAACTTTATAATTCTTTGCTGACAAATAATGTTAAACCTAGAAAACCCTAAAGATTCTTCCAAAAGTCTCCTAGACCTCATAAATGACAGATAAGAGACTTCAGTAAAGTTTCAGGACCCAAAATAATGAACAAAAATGAGTATATGCCAATAATGTTCAAGCTGAGAGTCAAATCAAGAACACAGTCCCATTTACAATAGCCACACACAAAAAAAATATCTAGAGATAATAGCTAATCCATGAGGCAAAGGGTCTGTATAAGGAGAACTACAAAACACTGATGAAAGAAATCAGAGATGACACAAATAAGTGGAACAACATTCCATGCTCATGGATTGGAAGAATCAGTATCATTAAAATGGTCATACTGCCTAAAGCAATTTATAAATACAATGTTATTCCTATCAAACTACCAACGACATTTTTTCACAGAATTAGAGAAAGCTATTCTAACTTTCACATAGAACCTAAAAATGCCCAAATAGGCAAAGCAATCCAAAGCAAAAAGAACAGAAGTGAAAGCATCATGCTACCTGGCTTCAAACTATGCTATACAGCTACAGTAAGCAAAACAGCATTGTATTGGTACAGAAACAGACACATAGACTGACAAAACTAAATGAAGAAACCAGAAATGGAGCTGCCCACCTCCAACCAACTGGTCTTCAACAAAGCTGACAAAAACAAGCAATGGGGAACAGATTCCATATTCAATAAATGGTGCTGAAATAACTAGCAATATACAGAAGAGTGAAACTTGGACCCTTTCACCATATAGAAAAATTAACTCAAGATGAAATAAAGTTTTAAATGCAAGACCTTAAGCTACAAAAATTTTAGAAGAAAACCTAAGAAATGCCTTTCTCTAAATAATTTTTGGCTAAGTCACCAAAAGTAATTGCAACAACCAAAAAAAAAAAAAAAAAAAAAAAACCAAACTGACAAGTGGGACCTAATTAAACTAAAGAACTTCTGCACAACAAAATAAACTATCAATAGAATAAACAGACAATCTACAGAATTAGACAAAATATTCACAAACTACACATTCAACAAAGGTCTAATATCTGGAATCTATGAGGAACTCCAGTGAGTCAACAAGCAATACCTAAATAACCTCATTAAAAATCTGGCAAAGGACATGAACAGACACGTCTCAAATGACATACAGGTAGCCAATAAACATAGGAAAAAATGCTCATTGAGAGAAATGCAAATCAAACCACAATGAGACATCATCTCATACCAGTCAGAATGGCTGTTCTTAAGAGAAGTCAAGAAATATCAGATGCTGGTGAGATCTTGGAGAAAAGAGAATTTGTACATTGTTGATGGGAATGAAAATTAATTCAGCCATTGTGGAAAGCAGTTTGGAGCTTCTGCAAAGAACTTAAAACGGAGCTACCATTTGACCCAACAATCTAATTACTGGGTATATACTTGAAACAATATAAATTGATCTACCAAAAAGATGTATGCACCCATAGGACCATTGCAGCACTATTCACATTAGCAAAGACATGGTATCAACCCAGGTGCCCATTAATGGTGGAGATAAAGAAAATGTGGTACACACATACCAAGGAATACTATACAACTGTAAAAAAGAGTAAAATTATGTCCTTTGCAACAACATGAATGCAGCTGAAGGAGATTATCCTAAGCAAATTAACAGAAGAACAGAAAACCAAAAGTTGCATTTTCTCACTTGTAAGTGGGAGCTAAATATTAAGTACACATAGACATAAAGATGACAACAATAGACACTGGTGACTACTAGAGGAGGTAATGTGGGAGATGGATGTGGGTTAAAAGACTACCTATGTCTTTACTACTACCTGTGCTCACTACTTCGGTGACAAGATCTGCACCCCAAACCTCAGCATCATGCAATACACCCGTGTAAACAATATTCATGTATACCATCTCCCCTGAATCTAAAATAAAATGTTGAAATTATATTAAAAATTTGGGACAGACCAATGTTTTTCAATAGAAAAACCAATAAATGAATTATGAAAAATTCATAATAAGGCATTCTGTGTTTTACTAAATAGTATCAGAAAGATATTTGGGTATTTGTAGAAGGGTATTAGTAATATACTATTTAGTGAATAAAGAAAAAAAGAGAAATCTTAACACAAAAGAGAAGATAAAGATCTCATTGCTCTAAGAAAAAAAAATGCTTCTATGCTATTTTATGCATGAACACAAAATTAAGACTAAATCAGTATTACCCAAATCAAGTCTAGCTATTTTTGTGGAGTTGGATGAAAGTAGAATTTCATTTTAAACTTTGTACATCTCTTAATTATTTTAAATGTTTTTGACAAATATCCTAGTTTTATAACTTAAAGTATTAAGTAATTATTATTCAAAACCATTTAAATGGCCATTCAAGAAAGAGTTTGCATGATTTACCAAAAACACCAGTTTATAAACTGACTGGGCAAGATTTATTTTTCAAAATGTGCCCTCTAATTTGACTTAAACATACTCTTGAGACATTTCAATTGATTTGGATGGACGCATTCAAACCAGTGTCATGAAACAGATGCTGCGATGCTATGTAAGCATACTAATGAAAGTATAAACCATCGAGTAAAAAAAATTGCCTATAGTAGCAAGAGATATCTAATCTAATTGTTCATTCAATAAAATCATAGCAGAAGTCTCCTCTAATATATTGTATGCCTGTAGTACTGCTATGACTTAAAGCAATAACCTGGAACCATAGTCTTCTTGCTTAGCTAATGAAACTATCCAAATGATTAAGGTCATAGAACAAATGTCTTCACAGATCCATGAGAGCACATACACACAAACATCCATACACAACCTTTATCTTATGTTCCAAATTTCCGGACTCCAGGAGAAAACTAATATGTTTTAAACACTAAATGCTAGCTCCTATGCTAAAAAGTAGTAATATTGCTAATCCCTTTTTACAGATATAGATATTACTACTACTATGCTAAAAAGTAGTAATATTGTTATTCCCATTTTCAAAATGGTTAAGTAACTTGACCAAATTTATATATCTTTCAAGAGGCAGAACTTGGACTGGAATTTAGCCTAGCTAGATGCTAAGGTTTAACCTCTTAACCACCATACTATCTCTGTTGTCTTTCATCAGTTTGGCATCGACATTCTCCTAAATATCAATCAATGTTATTGATTGATAGTGTAGATATGAAACCAAGAAGTTGTGAAATGTAGTAAAACAGTGGGTGAAAATAGTAGTGAAAAATAACAGAATATGATGCCACTGTGAATAAAAATCACATTATCAAGTTTTAATTGGTTTGATCCTATGTATGAAACTTACTTAATCAAATCTAAAGGCTGCTCCTTGTAGAAATAGGAAAATCGAGCCCAATTCTTGTGAAGTATGTATCTTTCATTGGTAGGATTGGGAGGTTCTGAAGGCTTCCAATACTGGCCCTGCAGATATTCAGAGATGGGAGTACATAGAAGATGAAGCAAAAGACAAAGGTGAAGTAAACAAACACTCTTTTCCTAAGGTTAGTAAACAAGGCTGTTTTTTACTTTTACAGTTCATATTCAATTGATATAAAATTATTTCACAAACTATAATAATATTTGTTTATTAAATTCTCACATACAGCTATCTCCAAATACAAGTGTAGAACTTTGGCTTTACTCAAGCTGTTCCTTTACCTGGAATGCCCTGTATTCTCTACTGAAACCCTAATATAATGTTCACAGCCCAGAGAGACATATCACTGTATAACTGGATAGGACTTCAGAAATGGGCTAGTACTTTTTTATAGATGGGAAAATGAAATTTTGAGCAATGTTAAGTGACTAATCCAAAGTGATACTGCTAATACAGAAAGAGACTCCTGTTCTGTCCTCACTGATAGCCATTTCCCAAAGAACTTAAAATAATACAACTTCAGCATTTAAGAGGCTCAGTACTGCTTCACACATAAGTTCTTCTCCCACGGTTAGATACTAATTAATATTATTAATATCTTTTCATGGACTAGCAAAGTATTGTGGACACTGTGGTTGTTTAAGATATTCTGTTTTTACTGTCGACGAACTGCTGAAGGAAGCACTAAATAAATATCTAATTTAAAATTTAGCACGTGTGAAAACCTTTAGATGACAGGTGTTAAATTTTATATCACCCAGATTCAAGCTTTTTTCTTCTTCTGTGACTAATCCAACTGAATCTTAAGAAATTAAGCAATAAAGAAATCAGCCTATGTGGGTATTTTGAAAAACTATCCTGCAAAGCATATAAGGGAAAATCCAGTACCTAATACTGCATTCAGAAGAAAAGAAAGATAAAAAAGTAAAATGAAAGATATAGCTATCTCTAATGATAGCTTAGTAAAACCTGAACTTCCAATGAGCCTATATAACTCTACTGAAAGGCTACATGTATAGTTTAAAAGGAAGAGCAGGCTTTGGGCTTTTGGAAGCTATTACAGCAACACTGTTTTGAAAAAAATGGGGAATTACTTAGCTGCCACTTGTTTCAGTGGAAATATTTGTTTCTTCTATATTCCTGAGAACTATATTTCTTGCAAAGTGAATACATCATCAAAAAGTCTTTTATAAGTATGTAAGAGTAAAACTGTAACAGAAGAAACAATAAAAATAGATGTTCCAAGGGACGATCTTACATTAGAACATATACACATTCAACCGCAGGATTTCCACTGCCAATAGGTGGTAAAATTTAAACAGTGGCTATTCAGACGGGAATGTTTCCCTCAAAAACATCCAGAAACTAGGCTGAGTCTCTTGGTTCTAAGGCCAAGTTTTCAGGTTTGGTTCAACAGGTGCATCTTGTAAAATGTCACTTCTCTGTTAAACTTACACAACTCAATGCTTTTGTACAATGATTTGCCAGTTTCCCCCAAAAAAATTCTTCTGAATATCAGTTGTTATAACATCTGAAACATTCTAATGCACTGAAACCTTCAGTTTGTATTGCAGTTGTACACATGCTTTATTTCTATGAGAGCCCTAGTCTGTGAACTTGGATTCATGGTTGTGTTCCAAGAATGCCTAACTGAATGTTTACATACAATTGAAGCCAATCATACATTAGAGGAATGAATATGGCATGTAATTTAAATTCTTTACGGCTTCAAAATTTTATAAATGAGAAGAGAGCTAATGGGCTCAGATAGAAATTTCCAAATATTATGTTTTAAAATGTTCTTTTAATGTGACTGCTATTTTCAAAATGGGTTCTAGTAAAAAGTCATCTGCACATGTAAAAGTTTTAAAAATAAGTGTCCATTTGAAACTTTAAAGACACATTTCCTATATAAGTCAGCATAGCTGGTAAAGCTCTCAGCTTGGAACCAGAGTCTTTGGGGATTTTCCTACCATGAGAGAAAACTAAGCAATTTGAAATAAAGGAAGATACTCTCTCCCAATAATGAACATGGCAGGAGGAAAATAGGCTCAGAATTTCACAATCAAACCTATACATACATCGTGGAGTGGATAGGCTGATGAGTAAGTGTTAGATGTTAGCAGCCTTTCAATCCCAAACCTTTTCTTCCCATCTTCTATGCCGAAAGGACATCTTGAGAGAATATAGTACACCTACAAGGTAAGTACAAAGAGACACTATCACATTTCAGAACTTCATGCTTTCCACATTTCTTTCAATCACAATTTAACAATGTCTACTTTGTTTAGATTTGTCTACTTAGATACAGGCTCTAATTACAGAAGGAAGCTTCCCTTTGTTGTCTGGAAGAGGATGTAGAGTGTGGGATTACATGGAGTTTACAGATAATTTAACTTCTGAGTCTGAGAGCTCCCCATTCCTTTGATGAGGTGCAGGAATAAACAGATCATAATTTATTTTTCTTCACCTGTCCCAATCTCCTCTTGAGTTCTTTGTGCCAGAATTCCTACTACAATTAGTATTTCAAGTAGGAAATTAATGTCACTACTAACAGTTCAATTGGGGGAATGTGGAATACAATTGATATTTATCCAAGCTGTCTGGAATATTTTTTTCAATTAATTATTTTTACAAGCCCTTTTACCTGATATCTAAATTTATTAGCCAAGGGGATCCTATCTCTACAGCCACTTTGCAACAACTTGCATATTTCTATCAATTTTATCCTGAAAATAATTTGAACTTTGGTGTCCTCTGCTCTTGTATTTCTGTGAATTCAATCCCATCTTCTTTTTATCTTCCAGCAACTTTTCAAAATTTCTGTATTTCTAATTGCTGACTTTTTTTTAGCATGATTTTAGACATAGTCCCCTACCTTCCCTTTCCTTTTACATTTCACGATTCAAGGACTTGTTGATTGGAATGGTTGTAGTTCTTGAGTCATCATCATCTAAACTCATCATTCATGTTAGGAGCAGCTCAATATTCCAACTCAATAAATAAGTCATAATTCATGCAAGACAGTTTTAATTTTTATAAATAATGTCAAAACATGTGACTTATTTTACATATTTTGAATTATTTCCTTAGGAAAGATTTACTAAAATAAGGACTCTGTCATGGGCTGTTAACAAAGTGGAAATATTTACTCTACCAGGTATTAAGATGTATTATAAATTTTAAATGTATTTTAAATACATTTAATATTATACTACTAAAGCATAGTATTGTAAAATTTTCAAAAATCCTGAATTTAGGCATGTAAAGACATTATTTGAAAAAAATATTGCAATAGAAAAAGTTTAAGGAGATCTGCAAACATCTGAAAGGTCAGACAGAAAAGTTATTTTATTCATAGGGAGAAGAAAGCAAGTTTCAGGGATTATCTTTCTTGTGTTAAGGAGGAGTTGCTATACCTGACAATATTGGTTCAAGTTGAGGGTAAGTCAATGTTCAGGTTCCTATAAGGAGAAGAGAAGCTTAAAGTTTGGTCAAATCAGGTCAATTGTTTGTTCTGATGGATGGACGGATGGGGATAAACAGTTCAGCTAACCATTTATGAAATGAGGAATGAGCATTTGGAAGAAGAGAAGTGTGTTTTGCCTTTGTTACTATATACTGTTAATAACATCAAAAAGGAGAAACTGCAGGGATAAGGATAGATGTAAAAGAAATAAATTTTCCTGGTGCCGAAAGGGAAAGTGACTTCCCCTTCCTCCTTTTCCTTGGAGTATAAGGGGGTCTTCAAAACTCTTATGAAAAATAGATATGCGTGATTTTCAATTTTTTTGAAAAAAAATTAAACTCATATTAACTTATTATAACATGTCTGAATAGGATTTAGTTTGAGGGACTGAGAAGGACCCATCAATTTGAAAAGGGCCGCTGTTAGAGCAACATAAATTCTGCTAAAATGGAAGCAAGAACAAATATCAAATTTATGGTGAAGCTTGGGTAGAAGAATGGTGAACTCACTGATGCTTTACAAAAAGCTTGTGAAGACAATGCCCCCAAAGAGATCAACAGCTTACAAATGAATATGCCATTTTAAGAAGGGATGAGACGATGTCGAAGATGAAGCCCACAGCAGCAGACCATGCACATCAATTTGCAAGGAAAAAATTCACCGGGTTCATGCCCTAATTGAAGAGGCCTAATGATGAACAGCACAAATAATAGTCAACACCACAGATATCTCAACTGGTTCAGCTTTCACCATTCTGACTGAAAAATTAAAGTTGAGCAAACTTTCCAATCAATGGGTGTCAATACTGTTGCACTCAGATCACCTGTAGACAAAAGCAGTTTTCAATAGAAATTTTAAATAAGTACGATCCAGGTCCTTAAGAACTTCTTTGAAGAATTGTGACAGGAGATGAAACACGGCTTTGCCAGTGCTATCCTGAAGATAAAGCATAATAAAAGCGATCACTACCAAGAGGTAGAAGTAGTTCAGGGAAAGCAAAAACAGACTAATCACGAGCAAAGACCATGGTAACAGTTTTTTGGGGTTTGCTCAAGGAATTTTGCTTGTTGACATTCTGCTTATTATCAGAGTGTTTTGAGAAAATTAGCCAAAGTTTTAGCAGAAAAACTTCTGGGAATTCTTGAGCAGAGAGCCCTTCATCACAGGGACAATGTTCCTGCTCATTCCTCTTATAAAACAAGGACAATTTTTGCAAGAGTTTCAGTGAGAAATAATTTGGCATCCACCTTTCAGTCCTGAGTTGGCTCAGTCTGACTTATTTTGTTTCCTAATCTTAAAATGTCTAGAATGGGCATTCCACTTTTCTTCAGTTAATAATGTAAATAAGACTGTATTTACATGGCTAGATTCCCAGGACCCTCAGTTCTTTAGGGATGAACTAAATGCCTGCTATGACCACTTACAAAAAATGACTGGACCCTGACAAAGCTTATGTGGAGAAATAAAGTTTAAATTTTGTTTTTTAAATTGTTTATCTACAAAATTTTGAAGCCCCCTTCTACTTCCTTTAGAGAACTTATAAATTCTTTGTCCCTTTGAGATATGTGTAAAATCTCTTAAAAAGCTAAATAAGGCTCTTGCCAATTTTGTGAACCAGGCATCTTTTTCCTACATTTTCTTTGATTAATAATTTTTAAATGTAAGCATCAAGAAAAGCAGAATACCTGTCTCCCCGTCTCCATAGGAGTTTAGCCTAAGCACCTGGCTACATGCTGTAACTACTTGATGTATAGACATGAGAAGTTTTATTGTTTCTTGAAATAAAAGCAAGTAACTAACACAGATGAACATTTCAATTACCAGCTGAATTTAGGATGAATTATGTGGCAAATGGTGCTGTCAAATCAAACTGGTGGGAAGAAAGATCTATGAGTATTAACTAAGTCATACTGTGAAGAGTGGTTCTGTGTAGTAAGTAGTTTTCCAGAATGTGAAATGATTCCTTTAACTATCCCTGTCTACCAGGACTACAGAACTCAGATAAAATTCAACATTCTAAGTACTGATGCAAATATAGGCAGAGTAGATCAGTGGAATAAAATTCAGAGGTAGAGCTATAAATATATAGATACTTAGGTTATAACAAAGGTGGCATGGTAAAACAATATGAAAAGTTGAATGTTTTCAATAATTGGTACAACCAGATTGACTACACACTTGGCTTACATGTAGTACAAGGCAAAAAAAATTGATTACAGGTAGATAGAAGTTGTCAATGTAAAAAGTAAAATAATACAACTTTTAAGAGATAATATAGAAAATTAACTTCAATACCTTGGGGAAAGTTGAATATTAAGAGCATTATTAATACATAAAAAGTTGAGAAAGTGGGCTATATTAAAATTAAATACATCTAATTATCTAAAAATATTCAAAAGGGAAACACAAAGTAAATCAGTAGAATATATAATGAATAAAAAAACTCAGATTAAGAATATACAAATAACTACTGCAAAATAACAAGAAAAGGGAAGACCTAATTGAAAACAGCCAGAGACTTTGCCAGATACTTCACAAAATTGCATTTCTAAATGGCCAATAAACAGATACAAGGAGATAAATCTCATTTACGTCACGGAAGTACAAATTAAAATATTAATGACACATACACAAATAAATTTCTATACCAAAAAATGAAAATGAACAAAAGTTCATAAAAGAACTAAATTGATCAACCAAATAAAGGTTGAGTTAAAGAAGCCAGACTATAAAGAACATGTACTGTATGATTGCATATTTATAGAATTTAAAAATAAGCCAAACTAATCTCTGCTGTAAGAAGTTAGTCTACCTCTGCTGAGCAGAAAGGGAATAGTGAATGGGATGAGGCACCAGAGCTTCTAGATGGCTAAGAATATGTTCTCTTTAAGTGCTGGTGGTGATCACATGGCTGTGTTCATTTTGTGATAATTATGACTTACGAACCTCTATTTATTTTATGCTTTAAATAAAAAGACAACATGAAAGGCTGATAATTTCTTGTGTCCAGAAAGATATGTATGTGGAAAACCAAGCACTCTTATATGTTGTTACTAGGACTCTAAATTAGTACATCTTTTTGCAAAGTGTGATAGTGTAATATATATAAAAAATTAAATATGGTGGAATATAAGCCATTACAATAAAAAATCATGACTACATATACAGAAATATAACATTGAACATAATTTACTCCAAATGTTTTCAAGGTTTCATATTACAAAGTGCAATTATAAATAGAATTCTGTCAAAAGAAGGAAGTTTGCGTGTTATCATTTATGCTTACATAAAAGTAGATTGAATTTATTGGAATTCTTAAAAATCTAAGTAAATAGATGTTCTTTGCTATTTTCCCACCGTGAAGGAGGCAAATTATCCTGTGTATGTTTTACAACTACAGTACTACCAATAGGACCATGGTTTGGAAAGCCAGCTGCATACACTTAATCTAATACAAATGTAAGGTGGCATTAACATTGCATATTCACAGATTTAAGGGCTTGAATAACAGCTAATTAGGACCCCCCTAAAAAAAATGCATGTCCTTAGATCTCAAAATTTTACATGTAGTATCTATTTTGCAGAACACTTATACTTATGTTGAAATATGTAAATACCAGCCTGCAAACTGCAGAGTTGTTTGTAATATCAGAAAAGTTGGAAGCAACCTGAATAGCTATCAAAAGCAAAAATGTTTAATTAAATTATATGTATACTATAGAATATGAGCAATCATTAAAATAAATACATTAATATGTACTGCCACAAAAAGATGTGGAAGAATATACTGTTCATTAGTGAGTGTTTGTCACTGAAAAATAAGTAAAATGGGGATTAATATAACCTATTTTTTCATTTTATGATAGATACCTCTTTAATGTTTCATACTTTCACAATGAGGATGAAATTGTGCTTTACTTGTACAATTAAAAAATTTAATAAGGTAAATGACCATCGAAGTGTTAAAATACTAAAAAATACTTACAATATAAATGATGTGATGAAATAATGTACATCTTACTGATAAATTCATTACTTTTAAAACACTTATGAGTGTTTATGTACTGGGCATTAAGCATATGATTGTGAGACTAGTAGGAAGATACACAAAAAATAATTATTTTTTAAATCTTCTAGTTCCTCTGAAGTAAATAATGTAGTGCTGAGCCACATTAATAATTCTTATCTGTACCATAAGAGTTATAGTGAGGTCTGAAGGGCTGACACCATCAGAGTTGATTTTACAAAGATAATTCTGTATGTCTATGTTAGAGAGTGGCAAAAGCATGGGTAGGAAGACCAACGAAAATGCATATTTGTAGATCTCAGGAATGACGACTATAATTTTGGATCATTTGGTAATAAGGGAGGTGGGGATAGAAGGGTACCAATTCAAAAGAGAGTTAGGAGTTAAACTGATGGAACCTAGTGGTGGGTGAACATGGGTGGTAAAGGAGCACTAATATAAATAAATCTTAGGCTTCTTACTGATGCCTGAATGGAGGTGCTGGGAAGAGGGATACTTAGAAGAGGAACTGGTTTGGACCATTTTTGTCTGTTTGCTTTTTGGTACTGATGGTCAGGAGGACATGTGGGAATAATAGCTAAAATGTTTGGCTTTAGGCAGGTCAAACATGAGTGCTTCTGATAGGTATACAGACATGATTTGTAGGTGACTGAATACATGAATCTGAACTTTTTAAAATACTTTACAAACCTAAATTTAAGATAATATTTTTAAAAAAACACTATCAAAAAGCAACCCTATTGGGAAGAAGTACACTTAGAACGTATAAAATCAGCTGTGAAATATTATTTGACAAAAAAGATACTGATAGGAATCCATATATTATGTATTATTAGTGCAATGGAAAATTTTCCCTATAAATGGACTGTATAAAAACTAGTCCTCTAGCTTTAAGGAAAGATATTGCAATTAAAATGATTAGATATATCTTATTTGTTTCTCTTTCTATACACATAGAAATTCCTTGGCCATATGTTTAATTTAAATCTCATATTGATAGTTTAAGCTTGTCTGCCCACACATATGGATAAATCTAGAGCTTTGTTCATCTTAAAAAGTCTGGGCTTCTACCACAACAAAAGGTATAAACACATAATCATATATATTCATCATATACACATATACAAATCTACATATTAGTGTGTATATACACAAACATATTACATATATTGATTATGAAATATATACTATATATTGTGAAGCTCAGATGCCATGATGGTTGTGAAATGCTTTGAAATGTATGAAATTCTATACTAATGTAAGATGCTCTTGTAATACTATTCAGTTTGTATATGCACTGAATCTAGTGTTCTGGATAAGGATAAAAAGAAAGGGACTTTTTCTATATTAACTTCCCAAATATCTTCCTCAATAATGCAAGAACAATGTTGCTACACTATGAAGGAAGATAAATTGTGCTTTAAGGCTGAATTAGCCCAAGGTATTGACACTGTTTACAAAGAACGAGTAGCGGTAAATGAATATTGACATTTCTATTCCTGATCAAGTTCCTAATTTGTTCCAACAAGTTCATTGGCTTTTTATGAACAACTTTTCAAGGCAACAAGTATCTCTAAAATACTTTTCTGTTTTCAGAGTGCATTACATACATTATTTCATTTGATTTTCACAATAATGTCAGTATTATCATTATTTGTTTTAAGATAAATCACCGTATTTAGAAAGAAGCAGAGTTACGACTTGAAACAAGGGCTGATTCTGTGTCATTTGCTCTTTATTCCCACAAATCCTGACTTAGGTTTTTGTGGTTGTTTAACCCTGGTTAAAAAAAAAAATGGGGGTGGGGGAGAACATTTTTAATTTGTGAGTTTGTATACTAAATTCTAGGAATTACATTTTGTTGAACATTCCTGTCAGTGAATTTTAAAAATATTTATTTAGGAACTAGAAAAAAATGGAATCAGACCTTTAATTCCTCAGGAAAAGAAAGTAAGTAATCTCAAGGAAAAGGATCTTATTGCTAGAACCCTGGTGATTAAATTAATATACAAAATCAAAAGATAACAAGTGTTGGAGAGGAAGTGGAGTAAAGGGAACCCTGACACACTACAGATGAGAATACAAATTGGTACAGACATTATGAAAGACAATATGGATGGTCCTCAAAAATTTAAAAATAGAGCTACCATATAATCCAACAATCCCATTATATACCAAAGGGAAAGAAATCAGTATATCTAAGAGATGTCTGTGATCCTATGTTTACTGCAACATTGTTCACAATAGCCAAGCCACTAAATGAATATCAGTGGATTAATGAAGAAAGAAAAGATGTATACACATTCTTAAATAAATTTTATAGCTACATACAGCCATAAAAAAGAATGAATTGCTGTCATTTGTGACAATATAAACCTAGAGGACATTAAGGTCAAAATAGAAAGGTAAACACCATCCGATGTCACTCATATGTGGAATCTAAAAGGTTGTCATTGAAGTACAGAGTAGAATAGTGGTTAGCAGAGAATGGGGAGAGGCAGGGGGAGGAAAGAATAGGAGAGATTGGTCAATGGGTAAAAAGATATAGTTAGACAAGGAATAAGTTTGGGGCTCTACTGCATAGTAGAATGACTAGCATTAACAGTAAAATATCAAAAGAGCTAAAAAAGAGGTTTTTGGATGAGTTTGTGTCCTTTGTAGGGACATGGATGAACCTGGAAACCATCATTCTCAGCAAACTGACACAAGAACAGAAAGTCAAACACCGCATGTTCTAACTCATAGGCGGGTGTTGAACAATGAGAACACATGGACACAGGGAGGGGAGCATCACACACTGGGGTCTGTCGGAGGGAAATAGGGGAGGGACAGTGGGGGGTAGGGAGTTGGGGTGAGATAGCATGGGAAGAAATGCCAGATATAGGTGATGGGGAGGAAGGCAGCAAATCACATTGCCATGTGTGTACCTATGCAACAATCTTGCATGTTCTTCACATGTACCCCAAGACCTAAAATGCAATTTAAAATAAATAAATAAATAAAATAAAAGAGGTTTTTGAATAGTCTCATCACAGAAAAATGGAAATTTTAAGTTGATGGATATGCTAATCATCCCAATTTGATCATTACCTAATACATACATGTATTGAAACATCATATTTTATCACATAAATATATACAATTATGTGTCAATCATATATTTTTAAAAATAAGTAAGCTATAAAAAATAACATAGAACCTTAATTTTTATCCCTCTGAAAGTCAGATAAATAATGATAATAATATCTAACACTTGTTGAATACTTGGTATATGCCAGGCACTGCTCAAACTTTCTTATGTGTTAACTAATTTATTTATCTGGGTAACCTATGAAATGGATACTATTCCTATCTAAACACAAAGAAACAGTGGCACAAAACCATGATTGTTTCTGAGACAGGTTTTTAATAGGAAACTTAAAGATCCTAGGACTTCAAATGGAAAGGGAACAATACTATTTCGAAGGTGGAAAATAGTTTTAAATGAAGGAAAAAACATTTTGAGGTTTCTCAATTTCTATCCATATAGAAACAAATGTAAAAATTTCATTTCCATTTGGAATTATAAGTATCTCCCATACTATGCATTGAATGTGTAAAACCAAACTCCAAGATTATAAAACCATTTTCAAAGTACAAAGTTCTCTAGATCTCGATTAATTGCTTTTTCCAAAACTGTATAACATCTCTTTCTTTACTACATCCATACCATCAACCACTCATATTTAAACAACAGTTTGAGAGTTAGGGAGGGTAACAGGTTTATGTGTTCCAATCATACTTTCAAAATTCCCAACATCACATAACGCTTATATCCTATACAAAACACCTTGCAGAAATGGTATGACATATGCACATGTATCAAAGCACACACAAGCACACATCTCGTATTTGAAGGGATGTGCCCAAAGGTCTTCTCTACCTACAATTCTGTTTCTTGATGAGGATGGAAAGAAGGTTGCCTGATCTTCAATGAGGAACAGCTCCTGCCGATGTCTGCTGAATTGGGCAGTAAAATATTCAGGATGGGGATACTTCACATTCTGTGGGAGTCTTACAGGTCCAAGCACATAGCTTATAGGAGTGTGCTTAGGGCGTGGAATATCACTCTCCTTAATAGGCATTTTGATTCCCAAGACTTCAGCATAGGTAACTAATACCTCCCAAGGGGCATGGATCTTGACAAAGTAAGTTCTTCCATCTTCAGAATCCTTCATAAAAAAAGACAAAATAGCAGAAAGCATCACTGGTCAGTTTGTTACTGAGATGATTAGATAAAAAAGACAATATTTTATAAAATCTCTAACACATCAAAGCATTTTCAATTTTTGAAATTTTTAGGCAAAACTTTGCGAAAACAAAATTCACAAAACCTATATAGTTACATAAACATGTATATATATATATATATATATATATATATATATATATGTATGCATATAATGTGTGTGTATATATATGTGAGAGACAGAGAGATAGAGACATACAAAGACACACACAAACAATAAAGAATATTTTTTAAAAATGTCTTTCATGGTCAATGTATACTCATCTCTAAACCCACAATTATCTATGTAGTTCTGGGCAATTTCTTACGTTCTTAGTAACAACCTATAAGCTCAAAATTTTACTTAGATTATATCAGGGATATATATAAACTGCAAAGTGTACTCACTCTTCTTACCCAGCTTCCTTATGTAGCCTACCCAAAGAGGAAGAACTTTAGATAATGAAGGTTCATTACATAGGAAAAAATTATGGATTGTGTGGTATAATAATTTATCAGTTCAGTAAAAATGGGAGAAGTAGAGAGTAATCTTTTCATTTTTCTTTTTTTTTTTCTAAGACAGAGCCTTACTCTGTTGACAAGGCTAGAGTGCAGTGGCACAACCATGGAACTCCTGGGCTCCAACAATCCTTCCACTTCAGCCTCTCAAGTAGCTGGACTACAGACACCCTGCCTAACTAAATTTATTGTTTTTAAATTTTTTGTAGAGACAGGATCTTGCTATGTTGCCCAAGCTGTAACTATTAGAAATTTCATATACAGGGTGGGATATTAAATAGGCCTTTAAAAACAATTTTGAAGGAAATTATAGAAAAATAGTAAATAAAATGAGGTTAAAAAGAAAACTTGGCATATTCATGAACAGAAAGAACATCTTGGCTTAAATAGCAGGTTATGTTGCAAGACAGCATGGTTAATTATTTAGGGTTCCAGATTATTGGAAGACTTCATAATGAAACTGTTATGAGAAAAAGGCTAAACCTTTTTCTTTAAATTCTTGATGGAAACGATGTCCATTTATAAAGTGTTCCGTTGATTATTACATCGTCACAATACTTATCTACTTACTTGTACGACTAAGGCCTTATCATCCTACTACACGTATCTGTAGCCAAAAGAGCTATTGTATTGCCCCCCCCCAGAGTCTGTCCAGTCAAAGGCCAGAATAGGAGAAAACAACACGTAAAGAGTGGTATAAATTAATAACTATATTTACCCTTTTGTCTTCAATTTCCAACTCAAGACCTGTTTTTCTGAGATTATTTTCAAACTCTTTTCTTCTTTCCTATGACAAAAATAGCCAATAGAATTATGTAGAACACTTTTGCTTTGTTTGCTCAGTATTAATAGATTAAATATGAAATAGTGGTGACTCTGGATGGGTCTCTGCCCTTCCCATGGTTGTATGTAAGTGTGTACCATATGAATGTCAAGTACTGCTTTTCTTTTGCACTATAATTCACAACAACTACAAAAACGCAGTGTAGCAGAAAATAATAACCAGGAAATATGCAGAGCCTCTATCTAAAGAAATGCACAAATCTTTACTGAATAACATAAATTAAAAAAAAACTTTATAAACAGAGACATATTCTCCAAGTTGAAAAGACTCACTATTACAAAGATCAATACTCTTCAAATAAGTTATATATTTAATGGAATTTTAAGCCAGTATGTCATCAAGACTTTTTAATCCCGACGGTCAAAATGGCTTCTATTAGCAAAGAGTAAACTTAAGTTTAACTATAGGTCATTACTGAAATATACTAAATAATCACTTGGGTGCTTAGTTTTACATTTGTTTGTTTTGCAGTGACAGGATCTCGCTCTGGTCAGGCTGGCATACGGTGTTGTAATCATAGCCCACTGTGGCATCAAACCCCTGGGCTCAGGTAATCTTCCCCAGCCTCCAGAGTAGCTGGGACTATAAGCAGGTGTCACCACATTCACATAATTTTTTTAAAACTTTTTTTGTAGAGACCAGGTCTCATTATCTAGCCTAGGCTGGCCTTGAACTCCTGGCCTCAAATGATCCTCCTGCCTTAGCAAGCCAAAGCACTGGGATTACAGGTGTGAACCATCTACCCAGTCTTTATTAAAACAATGCATTGATGACAAAAAAGTATGTTTCTTTTAAAAAAATTTTATTGAGTTAAAATATAAACAAGATATCTACCATTTTTAGGTGTACAGTTAAGTAGTAATATATACATTTATAGTTTTCCATCCTTCATCCCCCTTCTTCCCCCGCCCTTTCCTGGCTTCTGGTGCCACCAATCTACTCTATCTTCATGACGTCCATGTTTTTACCTCCCACACATGAGTGAGAACGTATGACATTTGTCTTTCTGTACTTGGTTTATTTCACTTAACATAATGGCTTACAGTTCCATCCATGGCTGCAAATGATAGTACTTCATTTATTCAATGGCTGAGAAACATTCCATTATGTGTATTTACCATGTTTTCTTTACCTATTCATCAAATAATGGGTCCTTTTCCTTTGCTGTGCAGAAGCTTTTTGGCTTGATATAATCCCAGTGGTCTATTTTTCCTTTAATTGCCTGGTCTTACACAAGAAGTCTGTCTAGTGTTTTCTTCTAGCAGCTTCATAGTTTCAGGTGAAAGCTTTAATCCCCTTTCATTTTATCTTTTATATGTTAAGCAATATGGGTCTGGTATCATTCTTCTACATATAGTGATCCAGTTATATCAGCATCATTTATTAAAAAGTCTACCCTTTCTCCATTGTATGCTGTTGGCCACTTTGTCATAGATGAGCTTGTTTTAAATGCATACCTTTATATCTGGATTCTCTATTCTATTCCATTGGTCTGTGTGTCTGTTGTTATGCCAGTACCTTATTTGAAGGTATGAGATGCAGAATAGTCACTTAGTTATGCACATTTGGAGGATAAATGTGGGCTGGAAAAGTAAATTCTGGAATTGTATGATTAATACATATAAAATCATAAAATATATAATTTTAAAACTGTGAGACAGAATGATAAAATACATCAGTGTAAGTTAAGGAAAGATGAGGATTAGGCACTTCAATAATAACAGATTTGGCAGAAGTAAAGACTGAGAAGGAGCAACTGTGAAATAAGAAAAAACTAAGATAATGTGAAGTCCCAGAAGCCACATGAAGAACATACATAATAGAAAAGGGAATGATCAACTGTTTCAAGTATTACTTATAGGTAAAGTAAGATGAGGGCTTAGGCTTAACCACTGGATTTTATACAAGATAAGCAGAGTGGTTGGGATGAAGGCTTGAAAGGAATGGGTTTAATATATAATTTAGCAGAAAAACAAAAAAAAGAAATAGTAGCTGGTAGGAAAACTGGGACCAAAAAGAGGGGTTTTAATTTTTTTAATATAGGAAAATTAACAGTGTATTTGTTCATTGAAGAAAATGCCCTAGTAAAGAATATCAAACATAATTTAGGAGAAAGAAGAAATAATTTTACAAGCAATATTCCAAAATAGGTATACAGAAAAGAGTTAATAAAGCAGGCATTAAACTGCTGTCCGTAGAGAGACCTGCTGCAACTTTAGAAAGGTAGTTTCCAGTATCTGGAGCCTTGCTTTCTGAAGAGTTCCTTCCACTCCCAGACTCGATTAGAGTGGCTCATATTGCCTATACTGTTTGTACAGTGTTATTTATGCTGAATATCTGTTTTCCTTCTGAAAGTATGAAATTTTGGTATGTGCTAGGCAGAAGGTGACAAGGTAACCAGCCCTAATAAAAACTTAGGGGACTTAGTCCATAATGGGCTTGCCCAGTAGCTATTTCACATGTGTTTTCATACACTGTTGCTGGAAAAAATAAGTGTATATCCTATGATTCTACTGAGAGAGAATTCTTACAAGCTTGCTCCTGGTTTCCTCTGGACTTTTCCCATGAGCTTTTCCCCTTGCTAGTTTTGCTTTGTATCATTTCACTGTAACAAAACATCTCCATTAGCATGACTATATACTGAGTCCTGTGATTCTTTCTAATGAACCCCTAAACTTGAGAGTTGTTTTTGGCACTCCTGAATAGCAGGAAAGAAGAAACAGAATCAAGGGCAGAAGTGGAGGAGTTGGCTTTAGGTAGAAGGATAGTTTGTCTGTGGTAACAGAAAGCAAGGTAGCTTAAACAGGCAAAATTCCTGGTGGATGGACAGATGTGGTGGTGGAAATTTATAGGTTTTCTCTTCTTGCTTCAGTTTTCTCAATTAAGCAGGAAAGTGTGATCAGTTAAGCTTGAAGAAGTGTTGGAAGTGTAAGAAGAGAAAAACTGTTATAAAACAGTCATCTAGGAGAATGGGAGACAACAGAATATGGAAGGAAAGTATGATTCCCACACAGCACAAGGACCCAGTTGAGGTCCATGGGCACAAATATAAGGTAAAGTCAGTCAGTAAATTTTAAGTTTTTCTGCAGCCTTGATCTCCTGGGCTCATTTGATCCTCCTGCCTCAGCCTCCTGACCTGAGCAACAGAACAAGGCTCTGACTCAAAAATTTAAAAAAAAATTAAAAAATAGTTGTGAGTTGCCAAGTCATGAGAAGGAATATCTACAACTGATTAACAATAATACACTCATATAAAGTTAAGACCTCAGAGCCAGATGTAGCACATGAGCTACCCTTTAGGAAGTCTATTTTTGGGTAGGGAAGTTAAATGTATTATTGGTTTTAAGTAGGAAAGTTACATTAGTGGTTACTCCTTTGAAGTTTTATGGATTGAAAAAGAGTGTATATGGGTGTATGGGTTGAAATGTGTGCTGGCTGACCAAAGAGTGGAGGGTGGAGGACATCAGTTTTAGTCTGCTTGGCACCATCTTTCCAGTGGGGCTATCAATCACAATATGTTGTTCCCCTCTGCCAAACAAAAAATGGTAAGTTTTTCTATCTGTATGGGTGCTGGCATGTAGTAAGTGGGCTGGGTTTAACTAAAGTTGTTGTTTTGTCAAGTACAAATAGGAGAGGGGCAAGGGTCTTGATTGGATATGCAACAGAGTAATTACAATTGTTGACCACGAGGCATAGGCTGAATAAAGATTGAGAGGGGAATAAGAGCAGTAAGAAGTACTAAGATGATTGCATCTTATCTGGTCCTGGTGAGACTAAAAGAAGAAGAATGTGGGTCAGAAAGATTTGAGGCATAGTCAGACAGTTGTTCTGACAGAATGAGATTATAAGGAGTTGCAGTTATTAGTAATGACAAATTCTAGGTGAGTGAATGGCTGAGTAGAAGCTAAGATCAATGGAAAAGGGAAGTCAAGGAACAGAGAGGCCAGAATGCCAAAATAATCAACTAAGTACTAATTAATAGTATCAGTGATCTGAAAAAGATTGCTGGAGAGACTGACAGTGATCCAGGAGCTAAAATTGTTGAGGAATAGAAGATCCAGAGGCAGACAAATGACAAAAACAATGCAGGGTAATAATAAATCTGATGAGATTTAAAGCCCAGAAATTTCAGAGACAGGTGAAGAACAGAGTATAATCAACAAGATACAAGGAGGGCAAGCAGCATTTACCCCATCTCTAGGGAAATACTGTGTAAAGAAAAATAACCATCACTTGAAAGGCATGCTAGGGGAAGCAACAAACCTCAAAGAGGTTTGAAGGGAACATTTAGAGAAGAGATGAAAATGATGATGGGTCATGAATTTCAGAGGCCTGGTAGAAGGCTTTCCAGGGAGTGGGTGGAGAAACGGGGCAGGGCAGACCTGTGTATGTACAGAATCTTGTGGGAATAATATCTTTATTTTTTATATTTTATATGACATGTATTTTTCAAGTACATAAGTCAATGTGTGTGTATATATACATAGACATACATATGTCTATAAAAATGGATTAATTAATTTATGATTTCAAATACTGACTTTGAGCATCCATTATACTCCAATCACTGTTCTAGGATTTGGGTATATAGAAATGAAGAAGACAAATTACTTCACCTCGACACTTAATTTACATTGTTAGGACACAAACAAGTAAAAACACGAATAAGTAAGTTCATAAAGTGAGGTGTTATAATACAAATAAGAGAGAATCAGGAATAGAGCACAATATAAAGGCTATGCCAGGGGGAATGGATTAGGCATACCTTTCCAAAATAAAAATATCATACAAAAGGTAATTATTATTTTTATTATTGTTTTTGAGAGGGAGTCTCACTTTGTCGCCTAGGCTGGAGTGCAGTGGTACAATCTCAGCTCATTGCAACCTCCCTCTCCTGGGTTCAAGCAATTCTCTGTCTCAGCCTCCCAAGTAGTTGGGATTATGGGCGCCTGCCACCATGCCTGGCTAATTTTTGTATTTTTAGTATAGATAGAGTTTCACCATCTTGGCCAGGCTGGTCTTGAACTCTTGACTTCATGATCTACCCACTTATGCCACCCAAAGTGCTGTGATTACAGGTGTGAGCCACTGTGCCTGGCCAAAACGTAATTATTATATTCAGACACACACCTCAAATTTTGGAAGTTACATTTAATATCTAAAGTGAGTTACAAAAATAATCCATTACTTAGAAGAAGAGAAAGAAGTTAGTATGCAAAATATCCCTGTTAGATTTAATATCAAAAGTGACCTATAAAAAGAATCAGTTACTTGGAAGAAGAAATAAAAGAAGTTAGTATGTAAAATATCCAAAAAACAACATTGACTTTGCATGTCTATTCTTAGGCTGCCTACTTTACAGCTATCTTACTCAGTTTCAGTTTTCAGTTAACACTTCAGGGCCTCTCACTTTTACAACATAATTCAATGCAGATATCCAGGTGAAACTATAAAATGTGCTTCTTTTTATTATTCCCACTTCTCTTAGACAGCACTTACCGCCTTTAACTCTGAATCTTTCTTTATGTCATCAACATAGGAAAGCACAAAGTCAATTTGCCTAATCCCATCTCGGAAGAAGATAGAATCTTTGCTTTGCTGATTTTTTTGAAACTGCAGGAGACATAAATGACATAATTTTAAATTATAATTTTATTCTGAATTGACAAAAGCACAAAAGGAATTATTTATAATTTAGTCACCAGTTACTTTTTTTCAGTCTTGAAATGACAAGTCAAGACAAATAACCAGAATTTTCAGCAACAGATTATTCTTTGCTTTAAAAAGTGAAATTCCATATAAAACATTAAGAAACAATGACTCGGGAGGAAGATAAACATGTTAACTACATGCACATACAACAAAAGTGCTGCAAACATGCCAAAATATGAAATGAATATATGAATACATTGATCCCAAAATGCATATTCAGAGAGAGACTTGTTATTATCATTAAACAACGTATCATTTAGTCCACTAAATAATTCACCACTGCAAACAACTTTGGGGGTATTATTAATTACAGACAAGTTAATGGAGTCTCACTATAAGAAAACAAATCTATGATTAATGTCTATTCTTTGTTTTTATAAAATTGTCCCTTCCAAATTCAACTTTGTAAGGATTAAAATAAAATCAAGGTGCAGTTAAATATTAGAAAGCAGGTAGCTTATTAGCTGGTGTCCCAAGACAGATTTCATGCAGGTTTCACCCTTCAACATCAATTTTCCAGGTGAGCAAAAATCAATCCTTTGTTTAAATTTGCATGAATTCTCTTAGTATAATAATCACACTTACAAGTTAAACTTTCACATGTTGTATAGTTAGTTCATTAATTCCTTCACTTTCAAAACAGCAAAAACACTAGAGAGCTTCAAAAGGAAGAGTTTCCATGTATGACTTATTTGGTTTTCTTCAAAGTTTATATGTAATATTTAATACTTATAATGGCCTACATGTATCATTATACTTAGAATCATGCAAATAGATAATATAGTGGCTGTCAATGAGATAATTTTCCAATTGCTTTAGCTCACGTGCAAATGAGTAACTATATGGTTTTAATTTTCACGCCATTGTTTCTATTAATTTTTGAGTTTATTTTATAGTACCCTATGGCATTTTTTACCCAAGTCAGGTGAGACAGGCCTCCCAGAACAGGGAATGAATGTAGATCAGTCATATGCGAATAAGCCATAAACCTCATGTTTGATCTGTGGCTTATAAACAAAGTAAGTGCATTTATATAGCTAATGCAAAGCTGATGTGTCTCAGAAAAAACTAGCTCCAATGCACAGGAAGAAATGAGTGGAAAATAGAAGAAAAAAGTTTTTAAAAAATCCAGGAAACCTACAGATTAAGTGCGAAGATATAGTCACTTAAATGTTACGTCTGAGTTCTCTTCACCTGGGCCAAAGGATAATAATCTCCTATTTCTTAAAAGAATTTGAGAAAAATCAAACTGCTATCACATTATACTTTGACTATAAATCACTAAAAATGAAAAAGAAAGAAAAAACAAAACAAATGATTGGTGCTCTTGTAAATCATCACAGCATTAGCATCTTATGAAATTCACTAAAATTCTTGGAAGTCAACTGAGGCAGAAAATATATACTACTTAGACTAAGTAAAATCAAAGCTCAATCATTAGATGGGAAAAAGTATTCCTTTTGCTCTAAGTCTGTGATGGTCATATTTTATATGAAAGAGGGATTTTTGTTTTGTTTCATTTTCAAAAATTAATATATTTACAGGTATTTATATTGTTTACACAAGCTAAATCTGGGTACACAGAGAGCAGTTCTGATGACAGAACATGTGCACATAGTAATTAACAGACGTCACATTCAGAGTATCTGACAACTAGGAAATAGGCAAAGTAGCTAAGAGAACAGTAATTCCAGTGATTTTCCTGTGTGCTCAGTCAAAAATGGGTATGCTTGCTGTCTTCATGAATGAAAGCCAGAGGCTAGCTAGGAAGACCCAAATTTCTATCATTATATAATATCCTGATGATAAATTGTAAATCGGTTTTAAATATGAAAAAAATCACTGGGAGCCTTGTAAATCACTCTGAGGCTGATGTCTTAGGACTATTATAAAAATCAGTTAATGCTGAAGCAGAAAAATCTGATAATTCTGTCAATATAACTGAGTATTACTAAAACACATCATGCTTTTGTTTTGCTCAAAACATGATATAAATATATTTTGTAGTACGTGTGTGCATTTGTTTGTGTTTATATTTGATTTTTCCTTAGAAATACCTATTTGTAATTATGTAAACAACTGACTGGCTTCTCTGTAAAGGATGTAGTTATTCTGTGGTTCAAAAACATGTATTACTGACTAGCCATGGTGACTCATGCTGGTAATCCTAGCACTTTGGGAGGCCAAGTTGAGATGATTGCTTGAGTTCAGGAGTTCAAAACCAGCCTGGACAACATGATGAAACCATTTATCTCTCCTAAAAATACAAAAACTAGCTGGGCATGGTGGCGTGCACCTGTTGTCCCAGCTACTCAGGAGGCTGAGGTAGGAGATTACCTGAATCTGGGAGGGTGAGGCTGCAGTAGCCCTGATTGCACCACTGCTCTCCAACCTGGGCGATAGGGTGAGACCCTATCTGAAAATAAAACAAAATAAAACCCTGAATTCCTGATGAGAGTTCATAAACCTCCGAAACCGTACGAATTGTGTGTGTGTGTGTTTGTGTGTGTGTGTGAGTTTATGTATATACAGTATGTATATACATTTTAGGAGAAGGATCTATAGATTTCGTCCAATCCAAAACCAATTAAAAATCGCTATTCTTAAACTTCAGTTGCCTGGGGATTAGGAATCAGTAACAAAGTTCCCCCAAATCAAAGTATTCATTAGAAGAAAAATAACTCAGGCTACCACTGCAGCCACCCAGAGCATAAGCAGCATCATTCAGCATTGATTTTACCATAAGCCGTCGCCTCAGGAACAAATTGTATCGCTTTGCAGGCTGTGAAGCAACCAATAAAGAATTAGCAAATCCTGCCCCAAAATTACAGTAAAGATTCCAAAAAACAGACACAAACAAAGTAACCCTCAGTAGGATTATTTTCTAAGAGAGAGAGAGAGAGAGAGAGAGAGAGAGAGAGAGAGAGAGAGAGCATGCATGTGTGATATTTCAAGCTGAAGGATAGAAATTACAAAGGAAAAAGGAAGAAAAAATGGGTAGAAAGTAATAAACATGCAAAGAAAAAACAAAAGGAGACTTCAGAGTAAATTTTCCTAAATTCTTTAAACAGTGACTAAAAAAATAAATATTTGTGGATTTATATTTTACTTATTTATTTCAAACTTTTAAAGTTCAGGGGTATATGTGCAGGATGCGCAGACGTGTTACATTGGGAAATATGTGTCATAGGGGTTGGTTGTACAGATTATTTCATCACCCAGGTATTAAGCATAGTACCCAGTAGTTATTTTCCCTGATTCTCTCCCTTCTCCCAACCTCTACCCTCTGAAAGACCCCAGTGTGTTGTTTTCTTCTATGCGTCAGTGTGTTCCCATCATTTGGCTCCCACTTATCAGTGAGAACTTGCAGTATTTGTTTTCTGATTTTGTGTTAGTTTGCTAAGGATAATGGCCTCCATCTCTATCCATGTTTCTTCAAAGGATATAATTAAGGAAGAGAGAAAAGATAACAATAAAGGAAAATATAGAAATAAGAATATAAAATAAAATAGATAGTTTTTGTTAGGTATTCCTATATATACCAGAAAAAGAAAGTAAAATTACTACATTTATACTGGGATGATGTGTGGTATGAAAAGTCTACAAAAGTTTTTTTTTTAAATTTTATGAGCATATGAGCATGCAATATACTATAATACATAAAAAGTCATTCAATTATTCAAATGTTGAGTTGTCTCCAATTTTTAATTACGTAGTCATTATTTAAAATACAAAGACAATTACCTAAAAATATCTGGGATACTCAACTATATTTGAAAGAAAACCAAACCTATAGCATAAAAGAGCAAGAACTGTGTGTATTTTATAGCATAACAAATAGATAAATAATCCAATACAATTACTTAAACTAGTGTCCTCCCAGAATGTGCTGAAGAAACCTAAGCAACTGGTGCCTATCGGAGTGAAAATTCCTGCCCTGTAAACTAATGTTTTCTATATGTAGATAGAGGAGTTAATATTGCTGTTATTCAAAACACAAAAGATACAAGACAAATGTTGGTTATTGCATAAAGTATATTTTAAACTATATTATTCTGATGGCCTGAAATTTTTCACCTAAGTATTTTTATTTTCTTGGTATCTTTCGTGAGATTCACAGGCTACTGGTTTTCTCAGATGTTTTCCCTAAATTCATTTACGTGCACACGAATGTTCATTGCAGCACTGTTTACAATAGCAAAGACCTGGAATCAACCAAAATGCCCATTGATAATAGACTGGATTGGAAAAATGTGGCACATATACACCATGGAATATTATGCAGCAATCAGAAATGATGAATTTGTGTCGTTTGTAGGGACATGGATGAATCTGGAGAACGTCATCCTCAGCAAACTGACACAAGAACAGAAAATGAAACACCGCATATTCTCACTCATAGGTGGGTGATGAAAAATGAGAACACATGGACACAGAAAGGGGAGTACTAAACACTGGGGTCTATTCTTGTGGGGGGAAAAGGGGAGGGCCAGTGGGAGGGGGAGGTGGGGAGGGATAGCCTGGGGAGAAATGCCAAATGTGGGTGAAGGGGAGAAGGAAAGAAAAGCACACTGCCATGTGTGTTCCTACGCAACTGTCTTACATGCTCTGCTCATGTACCCCAAAACCTAAAATCCAATAAAAAATTAAAAAAAAAAAAAAGAATTGTTAAGAGAAATCAAAGAGTCCTACACTAAAGGACCATACAGGGTCACATTCTGACTTTCATGGATCATAGACCTTAGCATAAAAACTAAAACTATAAAACTGAAGAAAATCTTAGAAATCTCCCCTACTTTGGTGTAGGCAAACATTTCTTAAACAGAACACAAAAAGCATCGATGATAAAAGACAAAATATGACAAATTGAACTTCTACACTTCTAAATGTGCTTTTCTAAAAATCACTGTATATAAATAAAAAGGCAAGAAACAAATTAGAAGAAAGTGTTCACAATAAATATGATTGACAATGGTCTTCTATCCAGAATACATAAACAACTCTTATAAGTCAAGACAAAGACTATTAACTCAATTTTTTAAAATGCAGAAAATATTTGAATAGTTCACAAAAGAAGATCTATAAATGTCCAATATGCCCATGAAAAGATGGGCAACATTGTTATTTACAAACAAAATGAGAATTGAAATAACAAGATACTATTATTCATCCATTAGAATTACAGAAATTAAAAAGCTATCAATATTGATATCAGTATTAGTATCAAATGTTGGTGAAGATGTACAACAATTAAAACCCTTATACATTGCTGGTAGGAATAAAAAATAGTACAATCACTTTTAAAAATAGTGTGACAGTTTTACATAAAATTACACCTTTATTTTCCACAGGTCCCAGAAATTCTACTCCCAAGAAATTACCCAAGATTAATGAAAATATACACCTATATGAACAGTTCTTACATGAATGTTCATAACAGCTTTATTCATATGGTCCTCAAACTGAAAACTATCCAAATATCTATGAATGAATGGATGAGTGGATAAATAAATTTCAGTTTATCCATACAATGAAGTATTACTGAACAATAAAATAAATAATATCTGTAATACAGATATATTCAAAAATAATCAACTTATTAGTAATATTTGGAGTTTTGGATGAGTCTCAGAAACATTATAATGAGCAAAAGCAGCCAGAAGCCAGATACAAAATAGTGTATACTGTAAAATCCCATTTATATATTACATTAGAAAGAAAAACAAATCAGCAGTTGCCTAGAATAGGGTAGGAGGAAAATTGCAAAAGGGACCTTTTTGAGGTAATGGAAATCTTCTATATAAATTATAGTTTGTTAAAGCTCATCAAACTATACACTTAAAACAGACGCATTTGTGTCCAATGTAGAACCAATGAAGAGGAAAACTTTTTTAACATTCTGACTTGAGCTACTAACAGAATATATTGCGTGTTACTGAGATGAGAAATACTTCAGACAAGCAGTTTTGTTTTTTTTTGTAGGGGAAGATCCAGAATTATATTCTGGACCTATTAATCTTGAGATATCTTTTAGATGTCCATATTCATATTTCAAGAAGCATTTGGGTATTTAAAAGTGAAACTGAGGAGCAATGACCATGCTTGAAACTTTAACTTGAGAATTAAGATGGCATATCAATTGTACTTAAAGCCTTGAAACTGGATGAAATCACTAGGAGACTGAATCATAAGGTAATAATATCTAAATATATGTACAGATCAATTATAAAAACTGTGCTTATATTCATATTAATTGCTTCTTGTCATTTTACTCAAAGGTTCCTTCTGATTGGTCTGTGCCTATGCCATATCAGTTATTAAATATTTGAAATATCATCCCTGAGGTTAACAAGGCCCACACTCCTTCAAAATCTGCTAATTGCATATCTGTCATTATTTAATCACCTTTAGTGTATCCTTTCAATTCCCGTTCTTTGCTCACTAAACTCTAAATACTTATGAAACTATCCTGTCTAATCCTCTGCAGTAGTCACTTTAAGATAGTTCTCTTAAACATAATAGTTTCCATCTTTCTATATTTAATTTAGTAGTCTTAGTGTCCTTTCCATACTGACAATCTGTGTAACCACTTAGGTACTCAATCAAGTCCACTGTTCACTATTTTATATCAAAAAATTTTAATTATATTATTCCATATTTATAAAATAATTTATATTGAGGTTCTATCATAATAATCACAGTAGAAACCATAAGTAGAAACCATAGTAGAAACCACAAGACTCCATTGTTTTCCTCAAAAACACATCCAGTGATATTCTCTGGTTTATCCTAGCACATTCCCTCTCCCCTACTCTCCACCCTGATTTTTGCCCTGTGCAGGCAACGAAGAGCTCCCTTGACCTCTTGCTTCTCACAAATGATTGGAAAGAATAAGAGTATTTTTCTTCCCAAGGTTGAATTAAGGAAGGCTGTGTCCCCTCACTAAAGGTCACTGAGCCTCTTGATAATGTCTTCAGTATATGATGTTTTCCTTCTGGGTTCCAATAAGTGTTCTTTCCCCTATTCCCTTCAGTTCTATGGATTTTAATAAATTAAAGATTACTAGACCTATACATACTGAGATTCTCTTACACTCCATCTTTGTAAAAGTCTATCCTACACTAAGTAGGTCTACCAGGACCCTGATTTATACAGATTTTTCTTTTGTGATATTTACACACACACACACACACACACACACACACACACACACATTTATATATATTATAGATATCTATATATATATAGATATAATATATCTATATTATAGATATAGATATATATAATATAGATAGATATATTATATATATATATATATATATATATACTTCATAGAGACACAGTTGATTATAGGACTGTGGCTGAAAATGTTCAAGATGAGCTTGGAGCATCTTGTCAGAAAGTAGGAAAATACTCCAAACAATACTAAAAAATAATAGTAATAATAATAATAGGGGTATGTCAGGGGAATACACAAGTCAACTAAAAAGCTCCCAGCCAACTGATATGGCTTATGTCTTGTAATTCCAACCACTCAGGAAGCTTGAGTGGGAGTACTGCTTGAGCCCGGAAACTGAGAGCAACCTGAGAAACACAGTGAGACCCAATTAAAAAAAAATTAATTAGCTTGGTGTTGTGGTACACTCCTGCAATCTCAGGGAGGCTGAGGTGAGAGGATTGCTTGAGCCCAGAAGTATAAGGCTGCAGTAAGCTATGATCATGCCACTGTACTCCAACCTAGGCAACAGAGCAAAACGCTGTCATTAAATAAAAACAAACCAAAAACAAAAACTCCCAATAGCCAAAGCTAGAACAATTTAAGCAAGAAAATAAAGTAGTATTTGGTTTATAACATAAAGTATAAAATAAACATCTATAAGTACATACTGACAAAAAGGAAGGAAGAAAGATCCCCCCAACACTAAAAACAATTCCAAGTAATTGATTCATCTATAAGAAGGGAGAGCATTATCCCAATCCTTTTGTTGTAGGCTTCAAACGGTGACTTTCTTCTGAAGAATGCAGTATGGAAGGGGGAAAAAAAAAAAAAGAGCAATTTTACAGTGGAGAAATCTGCTAAACACAACCTCAAGTCAGGTAATCAAGGTTAAAACATCAAGGGTGATAAAGTGATGTTGATAGAATATACCCTTGATATGACATGAAGAGAATGATACTTCTATTATATTCCTCCAAAAACACATAATCCCAGTCTAATCATAAAAAAAGAAAATCAGGTAAGTCTGAATTGAAGGACATTCTACAACATACCTGACCAGTACTCCTCAAAACTGTGAAGGATATGAAAATCAAAAGAAGTATAAGAAACTGTCACAACCAAGAGGAGTCTGAGGAGGCGTGACTGCTAAATGCAATGCTGCATCCTCAATGAGATATTGGAATAGGGAAAGAATTAGGGGAAAACTAAGAAAATCTGGATAAAGCATGAGCTTTATTTGATAATAATGCACCAATATAGGTTCACTAATTGTTACAAATATACCATACTAATGTGATTCTAATAACAGGAGTAAATAAGTGTGGGAAAATCTAAAACTATATTAAAACAAAGTTTATTTTTGAAAAGAAGCCTACTGTTTAACAACTAACTGTTTAACCAAAGATAATGTCATATAGTGAATCAAATATCTTAAGTCATTTTAAAATCATTTAGAATTTTAAAATTAAATTATTGGTATTTAACATATTTGGGGAAAGTATCTGCAACTTCTATCACAGGCAGGGAGATAAATATGTAAAGTGCTCCAAAAAAAAAAAAAAAAGTAAAAAGAAAAACCTAACTGACAGGAAATGGACGAGATATATGAACAGAGTGATCTAGTAAAGTAAATTTAAATGACCACTCAATGTAGAAAAAGATAAATATCTCACACATATTGTGAGAAATGCAATTTTAAATGATACTAAATACTGTGCTAAGTGGAATAGCTCCCAATAGCCATTATCTATCCCACTATCATCAGACAGACAAGAATCTAAAAGCATAACAACACACTGCTGATAGGGTTGTGGGGAAACAGGCACTCTCATGTTTGTTGCAAATACAAAAGGCAGGGGAGTTTGGCAAGGTATGGCAAAATTACATACACCTTTTTTCTCTGATAAATAAATTCCATGTCAAAAAATAAAAATATAAATACAAAATGACCAAAAATATAATGACCAAAATATATAAGAATTCCCAATGGTATTCATTTGAGCAACATTTGTGATAGCATTGGAAAAATAAGCCAAACAAAAATGGTAACTATTATACAAAAGGATTGAGAGGACAAACAAGAAAGATTTCTCTGAAACCACTTTCATATTTTCAACTTAAAATAGATTTACCTTCAAGCTAATAAAGTCTAATCTTCAGGGGATCTTACTTGCATCTGCCCCTTCCAAGGGTTTAAGAAGGCCTCTAGCAATGTGTTCCTATGGTAAAATATTTTTGTAAATGTTTTAAAGATATGTTTTCATATGTTTCTTAAAGAGTGATATCAAAATTGTATAAACTTTAGGCTCACCTAAATGTTATTTGATCTGTGGATTTCAACTTTGGAATCATGTAAATGCTTTACGTTGTTAAAAAAAAAAGTAAAAATAAAGAAATAGAGAAAACAAGCCAGCAACATTTCAATTGTTTCAATTTGATCAATTTCACAATCCTCATTCCAGAATACTAAATATTAGTACCATAGTGAAAAGCAAACTATTATCTATGTTAAAATTATTAGTATAAGAATATAACTCTATTTCCCAACTTCTCAAACAGCATTTTTTACTTACTAAGAAACTAATAAAAACTTTTTGTCCCTTTATTCACCTTTTAATTGATATTTAAGTTTGATTTTTAAATGAATTGTACTTCTTCATGATTATCCTCAGTCATGTACATACAGACAAGAAGAGTGATGCAATAGAGAAAGAATACTGAACTAAGCCTCAGAAACTTGAATGCTAGTAAAGGATCAATCCCTTGAACATAAGGATAACTTTAGTCAACTCATTACTACCCTCTTAGACCCTTCATTTTCTCATTTGTAAAACTGGAAAAAATAAAATCCAAGCAAAGTGTTATGCTTAGTGTGTCATTCTCATTGATAGGTCTGATGTTATTTTTTTCCCCTACAGAAACTAATTTTTTTCCTAAAGTAGTACATTCTCAAATACCATGTAGAAGAGCACGTCAAATAACTGAAGTGAAAAAGAGAGCATCACCATTGCAGACTACAGAAAGATGCCCCATTTGTGTCCATGCAAGAAAGGATAGTACTGGTCGCTGCTTACCATTGTTTCTTCGTTGATGAGAAAGCTGGTCTCTCTGCTGCTCAGGCTCTGCTAACAGTACCGGGGGAAGATATAATTCTGTCATTAATAGTGCAGGTGGAGAAAAGGGAGCTTTTAAGATTCACTAACAAAAACTCTATATTATCTACGCAGAAACACTTATCCTGGAGCTACCTGAAATCATATGCAAAACTGTGGGCATATATATGTGTATACACATGCATGTGTTCATGTATTTCTGGTATGTATCTGTAAATGTGCCTGTGGGGCAGGATGTGTTTGCCTGTGCAGTGAGGGGACTGAGTGACCTTCAGAGAGAATTAGAATTTGGGAGGTAGCTTTATAAAATCATGAAAAAAAAAATGGATACAAGAAATGGTTAAGAACTACTATATACAAAGAAATAACAAGGATGTCTATCATTTTATGATACTGCATCCTGAACAGGCCCAACAGGAAGGGCAGAATTAATTGGCTATTTTATGCCCTTCAATATATATTTGAAATTATTAAAGGGAATACCATGGAAAATGCACCATCAGGATTCTTAAAAATTTGAATGTATAACCTTTCCAACAAAAGCCATACATGTATAAACTACACACAAACCATTTATAATTAACGCAATAGCGATGCTTCCCTCTGTGTACAGTAGATTCCCAACTTCTCAGGTTACACAAGGTCCACACACCACAGGACACAGGCCTGAGATAACACCCAACCATTTCTCAGCAGTCTCTAGTGACAGGTACAATAGAATATATGGAGAGACAGCAACTAACAGAAATGATCTGAAATTTATGTACAGATTGGAATTCACTTACCTTGTTCTTGGAAAAATCACAATTAGCATCTCATTATGCCCAAATTATGCTGGGAAAAAATCAGTTTTCAAAATAGCAGATAAAACAAGCTATTGACATATTTTAAAAATACTCAAAGAGCACTTTGGAAATACACCCAATGCTACAAAAGTAAAGTAATAGAATGTGCCACAAAAGCAGTAATTTCTCTGTGTTCTTTAAAAGAGTGTGAAAGATAATTTTAAATTTTGGAATATACAGTTTTCATGCTACTATATTTGATATAAATTGCAAGATGAATGCAATCTATTGCACTAAAGTAATACTGAAACAGATGGGAAGAGTTGTGGAAAGACTGAGATCTGTGAGTAAATACAGGCCCAAAATATAGTTATAATTATAATCCACTTCTATGTGATTCTATCTACTTGTGGGCCTTGAATTGATTCCACTAGCTCATCTAAATACAACAGATAATAAATTAAGTTAAAGAGTATCTTGATCACTCAATTCTGAAACAACAGCCTCTAAAATAAACTGTGTAGCTACATTTCTGCTAGTAAACAAATTTATTACAGCTTCATTTATATTGACTTCTGGTAAGTTTTTTCAGTTACAGAAATGTTAGTTATTTTGCTTATAGAAGGATAGAAGAAACCTTAAATTCAAAAGTAACAAGGCCAGTCACTTTACAATCTCTCCCTTTAGGAAAAAATATTTGCTCTGATTTCCAATCAAGAGATGTGGTTATATTTTCACTTTGCAGAATGTAAAATAAAATAACTTAGATTAATTCTACATTTTGCTGAATCATTGTCTCATTTCTTAATAAGGTTAGTCTTAGGCAAAAGGAGAATCCTTGATGTTCTCAATCCTACATTCTCCTCTACGGTAGCTGTGGATTCATGACTCAGGTTGCCTCCTTCCATGACCCCAACCATTAAAGAATTGACTGAAATGGTACAAAATGGAATGAAATAAATGGATAATTGACACAAACTTCTACTCATAATAAAACACAGCAAAATTCAGAGTAGCTATAAATAATCATGGAAACTGAATAGCCATCCTAAATATTCTGAACCTAAATAGTAATAATTTGGAGATTCAGAAAGAAAATACTTCTATACACAATTCTTAGAATGGCATTTTAAAAGTATTATTTTACAGTGAATATGAAGCTTTAGAATCAGATTATCTGTGTTCAGAATCCCAGCTCCAAAACATAGGAGATTTAATAATAAAACAATTTACATAGTTTCAGTTTGCTTCATAATCTTTTTCTTCAATTATATAAAACCCATTAAATACATATGTATAACATTACATTTGCAAACTTGAGCAAGTTAACCTCTCTAAACCATAACTTCCATACAGTGAGATTAAATAATACATGGAAAGTTTTCAATAAATGTTGGCTTTTTAAAATTAATTTTTGCTTACTTTCTAGTGATCATATAATAAATTTAATATATTAATCATATTATCCATGTTTAATTCACATGCATTCTCTGGATTGCCAAAAAGACTGTAACAATGTCCAATGATGGACTCATACTAATTGTAAATCAGAGGTAACACTAGAATAGCTTTTTAAATGTTTAAGCAATCATAAAAGCACAGAAGACCCTTTGAAAGCATAAAAAAATTTGGAAATAATGGATCTAAAATTTCTATATATTCTTCTGTCTTATAAAAGCCTAAACATTCATGATATTTACTAATTTGTTAATGGACAAAATCATTGATTCTAGTAAATTCTGCCTTGATCCAATAGTTGGATGAATATTCTATTATACTTTCTTTGAAAATTGACATAGATGGGGTGAAAAAAATTGACTGCAATGTGTAAAGCTTGTTTTGTGTCAGTAGAGAAATATAATTTAGCATTGAAGAAAGCAAAATAAGTTGTATTTACTTCTTTTACTTCTTATTTTGCAATAAATATAGCATCACAGGAATTGTCAAAATAATACACAGAGATCCCATGTACCCCCTACCCAGTCTCCTCTAATGGTTATTTACATCTTACATAACCATAGTAAAATATCATAATCAAGAAGCTTACATGAGTAAAATGGCTCTGTATGGCTGAAAGTCATTTTGTCACATGTGTGCATTTGGGTAAGAGCCAGCCATGTCAAGGTGTAGAGCTATTCCATCCACAAAGATCTCCCTAATGCTAACCCTTTAAATTTATGTCCACTTTCCTTCCCTACAAGATCCATGCCCCCTTGAAATCACTAATTTGCTCCCTCTTTATAGTGTCATTTCAGTAGTGTCATAAAAATGGAATCATAACATATGTGTTCCTCTAAGATTTTTCTTTCACTAAGCATAACGTCCTGGGGATCTATCCAAGTTGTGTTTATTAATAGTTCATTCTTTTTTACTGAGGGGTAGTATTCCATGATAAGGCTGTGCCACACTTGGTTAACCATTCACCTGCTGTAGGACATTTAGGTTGTTTCCACTTTTGACTACTACAAATAAAGCTGCTATGAATATCTGTTTAGTTTTCTGTGTGAATATATGTTTACATTTCTGCTGGATAAATGCCCAAGAGTATAATTACCCAACTGACATGAAAATTCAGTTTTTTAAGAAACTGCTCAACAGTTTTCCAGAGTGATTGTACTATGTTGTATTTCCACCAGCAATGTATGAGAGATCTAGTTTCTCTGCATCCTCACTAGTAATTTGTATTGTCACTATTTTATATTTTAGCTCTTCTAATGGGCATATATTTATATCTCACTTTGATCTTATTTTGTATTTTCTAGTGGCTAGTGATACTGCAGATATTTTCATGTGCTTATTTGCCATCATATTTCCTCTTTAGTGAAAGATCTCAACATGTATTTTGCCCACTTTCTAATTGGGCAGTTTGTTTTTGTAAAATATTGAAATTTTATGGGTTCTTTATAAATCATAGATACAAGTCTTTTGTTTGATACAGGATATACAAATATTTATCCCAGTCTGTAGCCTGTCCATCATCTTAACAGAATCTTTCACAGAACAAGAATTCTTTATTTGATAAATTCCAATTTATCAATGCATTTAATAGATGATGTTTTTGTTTGCAGATATGACATGTCTACAAACTCTTCACCAAGACCTGATTTCCAAGCAGTTTGATTCATTTTTTTCTTCAAAACATTGTATACTTTTATGTTTTACATTTATGATCAATATTGAATTAATTTTTGTATAAGGTATAATATTAGATTAAGTTCATAGGTTTGCCTATGAATATACAAATGTTCCAGCCTGTTTGTTCCATTGAACTGCTTTTGCACATTTGTCCAAAATCATTTGGCTATACAAATTTCTGAATAATCTTGTCTATGTCTATGAAATGTTATACAGAGATTTTTAACTTGTAGAACAGTTTGGGTTTCCATGTGCTCATTACTAGTGTATAGAAATATAAAGTGATTTCTATATAATTTTCTTATTTTTTACAACCCTCTTACACTTAGTTCTAGGAAATTTTGTTTTTGTCTTTAATTTTGTAGATTTCTTGGGATTTTCTATGTACATCATGTCATCTGGAAATGGGGAGAGTTTTATTTGTTCCTTTCTAATATGTATACCTTTTATTTTATTTTTTTGTCTTTTAGTTCCCTATTTAATGAGAAGGGTGAAGACATTTTGGCTTGTTCCTGATCTAAGGAAGAAAGTGTTTAGTCTTTTACTATTAAATATAATGTTACTGTAACTGTTGTGTGGAGTTCTTTATCAGGTTAAAGAAGTTCCTCTCTATTACTGGTTTTCTGAAAATTTGTATTTGTTTTTAGTAAATAAGAGTTAAATTTTGACAATATATTTTTCTGACAAAAATCACGATTTTTATTCTTTAGACTTTGGTGACATATATCAATTGTTTTCAAAAAAATGAATGGAGGTCAGGTGCAGTGGCTCACTCCTGTAATCCCAGCACTTTAGGAAGCCAAGGCGGGCAGAACACTTGAGGTCAGGAGTTCCAGATCAGACCCACCAATGTGGTGAAACCCCATTTCTACTAATATTACAAAAGTTAGCTGGGGGTGCGGTGGCATACTTCTGTAGTCCTAGCTACTCGGGGGCTGAGGCAGGGGAATTGCTTGAACCTGGGAGGCAGAAATTGCAGTGAGTGGAGATGGCACCACTGTACTTTAGCCTGTGTGACAGAGCAAGACTCTGTCCCCTCCACACATAAAAAAAAAAAAAACATGAATAGAGGCTTCCATCACTAAAGTAAACCCCACCTGGTCATGGTGCATAATTATTTTTATATTACTGAATTTATTTTTATTTTTTAACTGTTTCTTTTGGTACCAAAGTAATGTAGGCCTCTGACATGAATTGAGAAAGTGTCTGTTTCTCTTCTATTTTCTGGGAGAGAATGTATAAAATTGATGCTAATTCTCCTTTAAACATTTGGCAGAATTCTCCAATGAAATCATTTAAGCCTGGAGATGCCTTTTAGGGGAATTTTAAATTATACATTAGTTTAATTAGTAGTTACAGCACTATTCAAATTATTGTTTTAATATTGAGTGGATTATCGTTTGTGCTTCTTGATGAATTGGTCCATTTCATCTTAGTTGTCAAATTTATGTGTGTAGAGTTGTTAGTAGTATTCCTTTATTATCTTTTTGATATATACAGAATCCATATTAATATATCCTATTTTATTTCTGATATATGTCATGTATGTCCCAGCTCAACCTCATTTCTGCCAGTGTGATTAGAAGTTTGTCAGTTTTATATATCTTTCCAAAGAAACAGCTTTTGCTTTCAATGATTTTCTCTAATACTTTCTGGTTTTCAATTGCTTTTATTATTTCTTTCTTCTACCTGCTTCCAGCTTGTTTTGCTCTACTTTCTTTCTTTCATTTTGTTTTGTTTGAGACAGAGTTTCACTTGTGTTGCCCCAGCTGAAGTGCAATGGTGCAATCTTGGCTCACTGCTTGCTTGAGACACAGTTTCACTTGTGTTGCCCAGGCTGGAGTGCAATGGTGCGATCTTGGCTCACTGCAACCCCTGCCTCCTGGGTTCAAGAGATTCTCCTGCCTCAGACTCCCAAGTAACTGCAATTACAGGTACCATCACCATGCCTGGCTAATATGCTTGCTTCCCCTTTACCATCTGCCATAATCATAAGTTTCCAGTCATGCTTCCTGTTAGATCTCTGGAACTGTGAGTCCATTAAATTCCTTTTTTTCATAAATTTACCAGTCTCAGACAGTTCTTTATAACAGTGTAAAAACAAACTAATACTGTACATATTTTATCATCATTTGAAATAAATGTGTATTCTGCTTTTGTTAGGTGGAGTAGTCTGCAAATGTCAGTAATATCGTGTTGGTTGGTGATGTTGACTTTGTCCATTTCCTTGCCGGTTTTCTATTTAGTTGTTCCATTTACAGGGATACTAAGGTATCCAATTATAATTATAGATTTTGTATATTACTTCTTTCTTTTCTATTGGTTTTTGATTAATATATTATGATGCTGTTATTTTTTGTATGCACCTTTAATACTGCTATGTGTCTTGTTGGATAGATCCTTTATCATTATGTAATGTCCCACTATGCCCTAGTAATTTTATTTTCTCTAAAGTATACTTTACACATATTAATGTAGCACTCCTTTATTATAGTTAATGTTTGCATAGATTTGTTATAACATAGGTTTTTGATGTATTTATCATGTTTTTGCTCCACTTTGCAAATCTGTCTTCTAATTGGTGTGCTTAGACCATTTACATTTTATGAAATTCTTGATGTATTAGGAATTAACTCCGCCATTTTATCTTTTTTGTTCACTGTTTATTCCCTATGTTGATATTTCTGTTTTATTTTCCAGGAGTTTCAGCCACAGGTAGCAAAAAGAATAGGGAAAATTTCCTCTGTTCCAACTTTCTGGGAGCAAGAGCTGTATTCACTTTTGAACTACTTAATTCACTAATAATATATCTATTTAATAATTCTAAACATTAACAGCCAATTTTTGTCTTTGCTTCAGAAAGATGTCAGTTTTACTCCAAAGTCCTTTATATTGAAACAGACATGCTGAACCTAACTATAGGTTGAGTCTAATAGGAATTCGGTATGACAGTGCTATTCTCCTTGGAATGAATCCAGTCCTGTCACTTGCTTTCTTATAAAGCAAAATTAAAAGCAAACAAGCAAACAAACAAACCTAGAAGTTATATATTGGAATTTTTATCACTTAAATTTAATTAAATAAATTTCTCAATTTGGCAAGCTAAAACATAAAGCCTTAAAATTTGAGGAAAATTGTTTCAATTGAAAACCTAAGCTTGAAGTCAAGAATGCACTAACCATTGTTCCTGAAACATACAAATAGGTAAGAATCAGCATACATATGACCTGATGAAATTATTTTGTATTCTAGAAGCTTATTCCTGGAATATTCATAAATGTGAAAGATGCACAGAAGCAAAAAACATGAACTGTAATTGAAGTTAACATGATTATATATCTAAAGATCTGTGAGAAGCATATTATTATTATGCCGATATAAGCAAACTGAAAATGACAACGTATTTGCCATCTTTTAAACTGGATCAATCTTACGAAATGAATCTTTCCTCAGTCCACTCCAAAGACATGGAAACTTTAATGTTTCATATACTTTATTTCCAAATAATTGTCTTTACTTGCCCCCTCACTCAATAAATATGTATTCTGTGCCACATGATATCACTTCAGTGTGGCAACATTTCTTTATGACAGTGGTTTTCATCTTTAGTGGCAATAGGAGTCACCTGGAGTACTTTTTACTGGCAACACAAGTGAAACTGTGTCTCAAGCAAGCAGTCTCAGCTTAAGCCCAAGAGTCTACAGTTTTCAGAAATTCTTCACGTAAATATTTATTCCTTTGTACATATTGATCTGCAAACACTATAAAATCACTGTCCTATGTGATCTTCATAGTTCCCTCTGGTTCTCATATTGTTTCTCTCACCATTTAGGTCACTGAACTTTTATTTCTTTTTTAACTTTTATTTTAAGTTCAGGAATACAAGTGCAGATTTGTTGCATACATAAACTTGTGTCACGAGGGCTTGTTTATGTATGCAACAAATCTGCACTTGTATCCCTGAACTTAAATAAAGTACAGATTACTTCATCCTCCAGGTATTAAGCCCAATACCCACTAGTTGTTTTTCCTGATCCTCTATGTCCTCCCATTCTCCAAAAGGCCCCAGTGTGTGATGTTCCCCTCTATGTATTTGTGTGATCTATTAATTTAGTTCCCAATTATAAGTGAGGACCTTTTCAGTTCCTGTATTAATTTGCTAAAGATAATGGGCCTCCAACTCCATCCATGTTTCTGCCAAGGACATGATCTTGTTGTTTTTTAATGGCTGCATAGTATTCCATAATATATAGGTATCATATTTGCTTTATCCAATCTGTCATTGATGGGCATTTAGATTGATTCCATGTCTTTGCTTTTGTGAACAGTGCTGCAATGAACATACACATGCATGTGTCTTTATAAAAGAATATGCATTCCTTTGGGCATATACCCAGAAATGGGATTTCTGGGTAAAATGGTATTTTTATCTTTAGGTCTTTGAGAAATTGCTGCACTGTTTTCCACAATGCCTGAACTAATTTACATTCTCAACAACAGTGTATAAACATTCCTTTTTCTCCACAGTTTCACCAGCATGTGTTATTTTTTGATTTTTTAACAATAGCCATTCTGAAGCGGGTCACTGAACTTTTAAAGAAACTCTGTAACTTCTGAGAATCTTAATGAGCTTATTCAGCCAACTAGCACAGAGCCAATCTATTCTAGAAGGATGTGTTTTCCAAGCAGGAATTTCAGTCATTCCTGGAAATTTTTTAAAACCCTGTTTACATCTGGCCAGACATCCTGAAACCATTCAAGGATATCTACCTCTATGAGAGCTACACATAGGATTCTGTATCAATACAGCCTATCAGAAAAATTATTTCATTGAAATGCCTTTAACATGCTTATATTCATTATAGAACCCATATAAATTGTTTGTATCTTTTGGACAATTAATATAAGAAGGCCTTTGTTTAAAATAATTCTGAATTTTTACAAGTTGTATTTAATTCATTTATTGTTCTAACATGTTTATGTAATTCAGCTTGAACTGCAGTAGAGTCATAAATAAGCACTAATCATATAATAATAACTGTAAAGTAGTAAGCTATTATAGACTATGCTTGCATTACATTATAGCAAAATGTTAAGCCAAATACTAGGATCTCATATATCAATGCTCAGCATATCTGAATTTATTTCAAACAGAGCCTCAAAACAAATTCAAACATCTGTTTGTTCCTTTATAACATCTAGAAAAGATCCAATATTAAATCTGCATGGAACACGGAACTTGCTTTAGCTGCTAAAAAATGAATAAGTTAGAGGACAAAATAGAATGTATTTTAAGTAATTAAGTACAAAGACTTAGTTAACCTTATCTTGATATTTTTTTATTCTCATTTATAAGGAAGCTAATACATATATATTTAACTTACCTCACTCATTTGGAAAGAGTAGTCTATGTCTTTGTTGGCTATTTTCCCTAAATTAAATAAGAAAGAGAAAAACATGTTAAATTAGCCATATGACCAGAATATGTTAAAAAGTCTGCATAAAGATAAAATAGGAATTCAATGAATTAAAAAACTCGAAAAAAAAATACTAGAAGACACAAAACTATTCTGGAGCTAAGTTGTTTAAAATAGACTCCAAAAGAAGTCTTACCTTAAACTGTCTATAATGGGAAAAGCATAAAATACTGATGTGTAGAATACAATCTCAATTACTGAGAAATAAACTTTACTCTGATCAATGCAGTTACCAATCCATAACAACAAAACCACTAAGAGGAAAATATCCAATAGAGGACCCATTGATATCTCTTAGTTCTCATAATATGAGATTTAATATTCTCTCAGCTTGTTTTCCTGAAATCAAACCAGACAGGTTACAAGTAGAACACTATCAGAGTACTACCAGTTTCTAAATAGGCTAAAGTACTTTCCCTACACGTGGATAGCTTTGTAATGGCTATGCATTTAGTCATTTGCACTAAAATACAAGCTCAAATAAGTTTGTGACACTAAAAATTGTTAAATATAGAACTGAAATTTTCTAGTGATTCCAATTTGTAAAAGTCCTCAGAAATATTTGCCACAAACTTCCTATGTAAATTTTTTTTGGAGAAAATGTCACAATGGGAATGGTATAAATGTTAGCACTTTAAGTTCAAGTTTGTCACTATCATTTTAGAAATAGAATAAAAAACTAGTGAATGAAACCGGACAGAGAGCCAGAACAAGATACCTCACTATATAGAAACCTGATATTGAACCATTGTAGGGGTTGACTAATGTCTCTCCAACACCCAAATTCATGTCCATCTGAAGCCTCAGGCTGACACCTAATTAGGAAATACAGTCTTTACAGATGTAATTAGTTAAGGATCTAGAAATGAAGTTATCCTGGATTTAAGGTGGGCCCTAAATCCAATGATGGATGCCCTTCTAGGAAGAGAAGAGGAAACAAGAGGCACAGAGGAAGGCATTATAAAGATGGAGGCAGAAATCAGAATGATGTGTCTACAAAGCCAAAGAATACCGAGTATTTCAGGTACTATGGTCTGAATGTGCTCATGGGGCAGATGCTTATGAATGGGACTAGAGCCCTTATTAAAAAAATCCCAGAGAGCTGGCTTCCCTCTTCCATCATGAAGACACAGTAAGAAGATGCCATTATGAGCCAGGAAACAAGCCTTCACCAGACACTGAGTTCAGCACCTTGATCTTAGACTTCATATCATCTAGAATTGTGAGAAACAAATTCTTGTTTTTTAAGTAAAAATAATAAAGCAATAACATAAAACCCCAAAATATAAAAAAAATAAATATACCATTTATATAGTTTTTTCACAACCCAAGTATGATAGTCCAATTCCTTTTCACAGATAACAAAAATCACTCAGTTATTATCTTAAAAATTTAAATCCATTATATACATAAATTTACGCTCAACAGAAATTCAACCATTATAGGTTAACTACTGGATAAGATACAAAGTTTTCCAAAGAGGAACATTTTGTTTTTTAATCTGTACATGGAGATACAGAAGTTTATCTTAAAACAAGACTGCACAGAAGTTTATCTTAAAACAAGACTGCATGTGAAAATAAATACTGGTTTGTAAGAAACCTTTATTATATTTATAATTTTATTTTCTTTCAAAAAGCAGATTTATGGTTCATAGCTTTGCTAGAATAAGATGGGGTCATTCCCTATATAAGTTCTTTGCCTTTGGCAAATAGCAAAACTCTTTAAAATTAACTAAAACTAAATTACCTCTCCGACCTCACCCTTTTGAGCTCTTAAGTCTGGCTCACTAGTCTCCTTTCAGACCCTTATATCTTCTTCAGTTCCATTCTCCTTCTTTGTGGGGTCTTAACATACAATTATTCCTCTGCAAGGAATGCTCTTTGCTATAGATCAAATGTGCTCCCCAAAGTTTATGTGTTGGAAACTTAACCTGCAATGCAACAATGTTGAGAGGTAGGACCTTTAAGAGGGGATTAGGTTATGAGTGCTCTGCCCTCACAAATGAATTCACGCTATTATCACAGGAATGGATCTGTAACTGCAAGAATGGATTTGTTATAAAACAAAGTTAGGCCCTGTCATATTCTCTCAACAAGTGATGCCTTCTACTATGTTATGAAACAGCAAGAAGGGGCTCACCAGATGTGGTCCTCTCTTGGATTTCCCAGCTTCCAGAACATGGACAAAATAAGCTTATATTGTTTTGAAATTACTCAGTCTGTAGTACTTTCTTATAAGAGCACAAAAGGGAATAACAGACTCTCTCACCCCCCACCTTGCCCTGGGTAATTCTTCACATCCTTCAGATATAAGCTTGAAAGTCATTTTCTCCCCAGGGAAGCCTTCTTTCACTTATCTGGCTAGTTCAAAGCATCTGATGTATCTCTACTTGATGGCACTTGTCAGGGTTTCAATTTTACATGAATATGTGTGCTTTTCGACTAATATCTTTTTATCTTTAAAAGTGATAAAATCTTTTTACCCTGAAAAGTGAGCACAATGTCTGATTTTGTTCTTTTAGGGTACTGATTGGCAAACGAAAGATGGCTTGATAAACACTTACTGAAAAACTGAATGAGCAAGCCAGCAAGGGAGCCAAGTTCATCTACTACTGTGGCTGCAAATGATAAGCCAAAATATCTTGATAACTTGCTATGTACTGGCCCTGTGCAAAGAGCTATAACAAATATTCACATAGCATTTCCTTTGTATTACATATTATAAGTAATCTAGCAGTATACACGAGGGTGTGCATAGGTTACATGCAAATATTATGCCATTTTATATAAGTGACTTGATCTTCCTAGGATTTTGGTACCAGTGGGAGATCCTGAAACCAATTCCTTGTGGATACTGAGAGACAATTGTACTCACACACATACATAACACACCCACACAACTTCTCCTTCTAGATAATAATTCAAATCCTATGTCAGCAATTTTTAAAGTACTATCTGCCAACCCTGTCAAGATACAATTTATTTTACTTTTTGTATGTGTCAAATTTACATATTTTTTAACTTTTATAATAATATCACAACCATATTTGTCTTTTTCGTTCTGTTGACATTTGTACCAATGATGCAAAAACAACGGGATTAAACTACTGTTGCCATCATATGAATCAAGGCCATGGCACCAGACTATACTAGTAGTCATTATATTCTCTACCAGCATGCACTGTCAGTACAAAAAAGAAACAAAAATCTAGCTTAACCTAAAAATGTCCTTGTAAACAATAAAGCTTATGAATTTTATAAAATCTTGACCCTGAACACACAAATTTTTAATTGACAAAGGGCTGATATCCAGAATTTACAAAGAACTAAAACAGATTTACAGGAAAAAAACAAAAAAGACCATTCAAAAATGGGCAAAGGATATGAACAGACACTTTACAAAAGAAGACATATATGAGGCCAATAATCATATGAAAAAATGCTCATTATCACTGGTCATTAGAGAGATGCAAATCAAAACCACATTGAGATACCATCTCATGCCAGTTAGAATGGCAATCATTAAAAAATCTGGAGGCAACAGATGCTGGAGAGGATGTGGAGAAAAAGGAACACTATTACACTGTTGGTGGGAGTGTAAATTAGTTTAACCATTGTGGAAGACAGTGTGGCAATTCCTCAAGGCCTTAGAAATAGAAATTCCATTTGACCCAGCAATCCCATTACTGGGTATATATCCAAAGGACTATAAATCGTTCTACTATAAGGACACATGCATACGAATGTTCATTGTAGCACTGTTTACAATAGCAAAGACCTGGAACCAACCCAAATGCCCATTGATGATAGACTGGATTGGGAAAATGTGGCACATATACACCATGGAATATTATGCAGCAATCAGAAATGATGAGTTTGTGTTGTTTGTAGGGACATGGATGAATCTGGAGAACATCATTCTCAGCAAACTGACACAAGAACAGAAAATGAAATATCGCATATTCTCACTCATAGGAGGGTGATGAAAAATGAGAACACATGGCACATGGACACAGGGAGGGGAGTACTAAACACTGGGGTCTATTGGGGGGAAAAGGGGAGGGCCAGCCTGGGGGGGAGCTGGGGAGGGATAGCCTGGGGAAAAATGCCAAATGTGGGTGAAGGGGAGAAAGGAAGCAAAACACACTGACATGTGTGTACCTATGCAACTGTCTTGCACGTTCTGCACATGTACCCCAAAACCTAAAATGCAATTAAAAATAAAAAATAAAAATAAAAGAAACAGGAAGAATGCAGGAAAAGCTGATGCTGCATTCCAAAGTACCATGGTTGCCTCATGAAAAAGTACTTTACATTGCAAACTACAGTCATTAAATTTTTCATCAAACACCATTTTAGTTGAAAGTTTGACTGGAAAACATATAGGGTCCTACAGACTTGACTTTATCAGATATTACCTCAAAAATTAATGATATGAATCTATCACTTCATTGAAAACACCTGATAGTATTTATTACCAATGATAAAACTTGAGCTGCAAATGAAATAATTTTTGTAAACTTGTGTCTGTCACTGTGACCTTAACAGATTTCCAAGGCATTTCTGATGAGATCAGTGATGATGTTAGCATAATTTCGGTATTTTATAATGATATATGTCAACATTTGGAAGATCTGTATAATTCAGCAGACAACTGTTTTCCAGACAAGCAATACATGATGTTACAAAACCATGTATGAGTAAAAGATACATTTAAAGTGCAAGACAGAACAATAGATTTTAATGAAGCAGTGACAGAAAAGTTCATTTCAATGGTTTCAAATTTCAAATTACATCTAACTGTAAAGAACCTATTATTTGTTTAATTTGGGGGAAAATCAGAGAAGAACATCCATAATTGTATGAAAACTCTTTAAAATTATCCTCCCTTTTCAACTATATAGCTGTAAGAGGCCAGATTTCCTTTATACACTTCAATCAGAATACAACAC